GCATAGCGATCGCTTCTCGATGAGGACAAGCTTGCATTTCTTAAAATACACATTGAATGCTATGCACCATTCGAAAGAGGAACAAAACTGGACAAAATTCATGTTTTACATAACGCAAAAGGATACTTTTAAATCGCATAAAAGTAGTTCAAAGAGACGCGACAATACTTTTCTCGAACCCTGCACAGGGTGGTCAAGAAGTATGGAGGCGCTTGCAAAGCGCATATACTTCCAAATATCAAAGTAAAATCATAACTTTATTTAACAAAAATGTGACCAACAATGTAATAGATTACTTTATAAAGAATTTTTGAAGTGACCTCTCTGCGTTTTGATACAGGCCTTCAGGCGTGGAATCACTACCCCCACCGTGCGCCGCAAGTAGTTGGAACCTAAATTGGTCCAGATTTTTTTGAGTTCTCGCTTGAGTCCACCCAAAGTTGTGATTTTTTGCCTTTTAACTTCTCCTCCATGTATCGCCAGATAGAAAAATTGAACGGGTTTAGATCTGGCCTATTGAAGGTCCATTCTTCTTTGGTGAGGTAGCCTGGAATGTTATGCTTCAGAAAGGCAATCGTGGTCAGGGCTCCATGCGCGGGTGCCCAGTCTTGTTGGGGCAACATGTTGCAATGTTTTGCTTTCAAAGCATAACTTCTTTGCTAAGAATCACATCCTGATAAATTTTGGCATTTGTTTTTACATTTTTATCCATGAAAATCAGAGAAGTCTTGCTGCCGGTGAAAATACCACCGTAAACCATCACTCCTTACGGAAAAAGCGTTTTGGTAGCCACTTTTCGTTTACGAGAAGCCTTCATAACCGGACTGATCAGTTGGCGTTTGTTTTGAGAGTTGTGGGCTTTCTTGATGATAAAAATTTTTTCATCTGACGAGAGAACATCCTCTGTGCGGCGTGTCTTGAAAGCTTCGAGCAGTTCTTTGCAAATTGTGAGCCGTTTTTTCTTGGATTTATCTGATAGGTATTGGTCCTTTTGAAGTCAATAACTATAAAGTCCAAGCGTAGGTTTGACGATCATTTGAACAGTTGATCAAGCAATACTAAGGTCTTTGGCCATGGCGTTTATGCTGACTCCATCATTTTGCTGGATTCTTTTTTTTAAGAATGCACTTCGTTCTCTTCACATTGATCGATGGTTTCCAAGCTGTTTTGTGCTTCTCCTGAACATTTCCTGTCGTTTTCCACAACTTAACAATCTTCTGAACGGTTTTCAGTAGAACTCCAAGCCAATGAGCGATGGCCGAGTTCTTAAGTCCCAGTTTCGCAACATGAGCAATCGCTTCCCGATAAACACTCGCTTTCATGATAGCCTGAAAAATAAAAACATTATACCAAAATAGAAACATGAGCACAGGTAAAAAACAGGAGCACAAAATATAAAAATGAAAACAACATCAGAACAGGTGGTTAAACAGAAAAACAACTGCTTAGAGTTACGCCTCCATACTTATCGGCCACCCTGTAATGTTCAAATAAAATATTTACGTTTTTAAGGTCAAATTACACGCGCAAAAAAATGCACAGACTTCAACCCAATGCTTTGTAAGTAAAGCGTTAAAACACTAATCAGTTACGAGCTAAAATCTAGAAGCTATCCGCTCGGGCTGATCTAAAAGGAGTACCGAACATGTGCCTCAGCAGTCGATTCCCAGTGTCTTTTGTCCGGCTCTCCACAGTCTTTGTAATAGTCCTCTTTGATCTAAAACATTTGTCTTTAATCAGCGAAAAAGTTAACTTGATTTTTTTGATATTTTTTACTAATAAACACTAAAGCTATCTGTTTTTAATCCATAGTAAGAGACCTGGAAATATCCGCAGACTTCCCCGCCGGCACTCGCGTCATACTTGCATCCTCGTGAGTCTGTGCCTGGAGGCCTTGGAGAACAGTTTGACTCCTCTTCACACATACACTCGAGGCAATCTTTTGCGAGGATTTGCATCACTGAAAAGTAATCATATAAAAAAACTGAGAAGTTAGAGCTTTAGGCTTTTTCCTTACACCCAGTTGCTATTTTTAAGATCTGATACTTACTAAACTAGCATTTGTTTTGACGCTAGAAAAACGACAATAAAAACTTACTCATTTTTATGAAAATACAATTGGATTTACTTCAAAACTCTAATTAATTCCTTTACCTAAAAGTAACAAAATAAGAATAAAGCTTGACATCAGAAAATTTCGCTAAATGTTTCTTTTAGGCTGGTCGTGAGCGATTAAATACTCTTCAATTGTTTACGTTTGCTTGATTCTCTTGCCCGAAAAAATCGTTTGCCTCCTTTTCGTCACACTGATAGTTGAAAATCAAATTGAATCATTGCAAAAATTGATTTTGAGCAAAGTTATAACGTTTTTCGGGGAGGTAGTCGGTTTTCAGTCAGAAAACTGCCAAAGATTAGCATAAATTTATGAAGTTAGCATTTAGGTCATTGTTTAGAACTGTTAATTCTCGCCTTTGCCGAAAACCTTTGTTCAAAATTTCAACCACAGTCTACCATATCAAATTGTCAGAACGAAAAGAGTTAGACAAATAAAGCAATGCTAATGATAGCTCAATAAATCTGTGTGTGTGCGACTTTATTAAAGCTGCAATAGCTATTACTATTTGCGCAAGGTGACAATAAAAATAAACACAAACAACTTATCTTTATTGATCCAAAGGACACGAAGAGTGGCGATAATCGGGTTCACAAAAATCAATATTTTGTTTGTCCTAAATGAGAGTCGTTCGATTCTTTCACGATTAAAAAAGAAGAAATAGTCTTTCGCCACTTGCCTGCTGCCTTTACAGCCCAAACTTGTTGCTAACAAGAGAAGGAGGAAGGCTACCAGGTTGTGATGTTTCCCTTACCACCGATCAAAAAAGTAATTTTCAAGGTTTTTCTAAAAAAACAAAAGTTCTGATCGACATTGAATTCGATCCAGTTACAAAAGTTCACAGCACTAGCACATTATCGACTAGGCTAGCGAGACACACCGTTTTACCCGCCCGAACGCCTTATGATAAATAGGATTTAAAATCAGTTTCGAGATCTCCTTAACCAGAAGGTGCTTGCACCTCGGAATCTGATCCCTCCTGAAATGTTACTTCAAAGGGTTCCCTGATTAGGTATGCTAAAAAAGTGACTTAAGTGGAGACGAGCTAGAAGTGCAGAAGAATGGCAAAAATAATGGAGAAGCGTTTTAAAATGGAAACTTTGAACCTTAAGTGAATGCAAAAAAGCTGTTTCAGCCATCTGCTTTTTGAAAGGCTCTCTGAAAAAAATGAAATCTAATGTTTTGCAATAAAAAACCAAAGTAAAAGAGCAAAAACTTTGCGCAGAAATTTGCTCAATTTGTAAATACTTGCATTTAAAACGCCGGTTTAGTCCGTTTTAGAAAGCAGAATTAGACTGACGACGCTAGTTTTTTCGCACCACCTACAAAATTAAATAACTTTGTTCAAATTTGTCCAATTTATGTTTTTTTTTTGAATTAAAATGAACATCACAAGAACCTTCACAAAAGTCACTAGCAGTTTTGGGAACGGCCAAAATATAAGCGTTTTGATTCTATTGAAAGAAAGCTATGTAAAATTTCATTAAAATATCAACTTCTGAAAATCTGTCGTATGAATTTTAAAAACACATCGACTTTCAGAAGCAGCACATTTTTCTGAGTCGAATGAGATGTCTCGCGTAAAATTCCTATAGAATTCATTTTTTAACTTTATTTCGCGCGGATGTGCGGCGCCCTCTAATGGTACGGCAGTCTAAGAGAGGGTTAAAAAAAATAGCACGGTGCCGTACTATTAGGGAAGATGGGAGATAATTGTCGACTTATATGGTCGTTTTCGCAGGTTATATTTCTTTTTTGCTATTCGATTATTTCGGATCCTAATGATTCACCTTTTTTTTAAAAATCTTGAAAATTTCCACTCTCTTTTGTGTCGAATCAGTAATCGGCAGCTTTTCGTCGGTCTTTCCTTCCCTTGTTTCCGTTCTTATGCTTGTCATTTCTTCTGTCCGTTTCGCTAAGTATTTTTTCATTCTTTGCAAAGTACCAAAAATGTTGTTTTATTTGGCCGTTTTTCAATAATTTATTAAATTCTCATCTTCTGAGAGTCGTTCCTTTCTACTAACAAATACTGCTCCTGCATATGCAATTCATACAAAAAGATTACACTCGATGGCGGTAAGCCATTTGCGTGATTAAAAAATGTGGTTGTCTGGCTTCAAACATCAAGAGCTGTCGACTTGATTTTTTGATTTTTATGATTTGGGTTAAATGTTCAAAATGGACAGAGTACGATTTTCAGATTTTATTTTGATTATAAAATTCATTAAATAAATTAGGAAAAATTTTCTTGACTAAAGCTGCTAAAATTTTCTAGATCAAAGCAAGCAAAAATGTTTTACTGATATGTCACTTTTAGTTTACATTTAGCTTTGTTGAAATTTCAAAAAATTTCAACACCTCAAACAAAAGTCTGTGAACTTAATGATGCTCAAGACTAAAATTGAGGTTATGATCTGTACAGCATTACCAAACCCTTTATAGCCCGGTTTTGATAAACTTGAAATTAAACCAGTTACCGATTTGGCAAAAAAATTATACATTCTTTCAAAAGTGTGTTTGCTTTAGGATGGAATCACAGTGAAAACCTCTGATGGAACTGATTTTCTCATTGATTATTCGCAAAATGGCTGTTCAAAGACGACTCTGACAGTGGTATTTTAGATTTTGATTGTTTTGAAATACATGTTTTCAGCAAGCAAACAGTTCTACATTTGATGGTAGTGATTGTAATGACTGTCTGCCGTTTACGATCAACGGAAAAAGCTATCAAATGGTAAACCCTCAGTCTATGTACTCAAGGGATATCAAGAGTTTATTCAAAATCATATTTTCAGTTTATATGGTGATTTGAAAGGAGTTCGTGGCTACTTCTATCAGTATCATTTTGAGCTGAATGATTTAGCGCAGTTGTCAGTCAAACACAAAGATGGCTGCTCTGTGGAGTCGGCTGTTTCGTTTCGAGCTCGACACTTGGTCAATGGTTTGGTATTAAACATACATATTTTTGTATTTTCAATTACGCTTTTCCTCAAAATACCTATAAATTTTTTCCAAGTATAATTTTGCTTCAAAAAGCTTAGCTTTTTCGCCAAGCTAGTAATTTCCGTCAAGCAAAAGCCAAGAGAATTACAAAAAAAGGAGAGTACTTACTTTAAAAGTACTAAAAGAACAAAAATGCTGATCGAAATTACAGAAGCAAAAAATGTTCTGCTAATACCTGGTCATAACACTTTCGACGACAAGGGGCATCTTTTTGTTCAAGTGGGAACGGATACGACAGCCACAGTTGTTCCAAGTCCAAACTCTTACACGTAAGTGAAAAAATAAAAACAGACGTAGAAATGATTTCTGAAAAGTTTTTATTAGATCAATTTATGACTTATAAAACATTTTTGCAGTTTAAAAACGTTTTTCTTTTCTTCAGTTCCGACGGTCCGCAGGTAGTGCTGACACCATGGGACGCCGCTACAGTGCCCTGGGATGCACCAAAAGTTGGATGCCAAACATTTAAGGTTGTTTTTAAAAAAAAAAAGAAAAAAAACTTTTAGATAAATGCATTAGGTGTCACTTTAATTGAGAAGTTAATATTTTAAGATGCTCATATAGATTATAGTGCTAAATGTCTTTATTTGCACGTACGTGTTGATGTTACATGAGTCCGGACTGAGATTTCGTGACTAAGTAGTCTTTTTTATCCCGCCCCGAGGGCGGCGGTTGTACTTAAAGGTTGTACTTTCATTGAACCTTAGCCAACACAGAGTTTAGTCTAACTAGGTGTGTAAAGAAATTGGCTCAAAGACACGAGAGTTATTGAAATTTCGAGTGTCTAAGAGTTGATAAAGGCTCGTGATTCTTGTGTTTTTAAAAACTTCATAAATGGAGAAATAGTTGAAGAAGTTGAAATAAATGCAATTTTTCAATGAACCTTCTTTTAGACAATTCAGTTCAGTCATTTAAACAGAGTTCGAAAGTTCGTGCTAAATATTAAATTGTAAGTTAAGCCTTGACTCCAAATTCAAAACAATATTTATTGACAACCAAAAGTGAAACCAACTTTTTATTGTACTCTAGGGTGAAGAGTCATCCCTGTACCTGCTCTTGATCTTTGCCAGCGCAGCAGAGATAGAAAGCTCTTTTTTAAACTCGTAAAACATTATCCGGTTGTTAGATTGGAAATGTCCGGTTGGTAGATTTGGAGTCGCATTTGAATAAATAATCAGTAAAAAAAGATAAAACAGCATTTGGCTTTCTGAATTGTGTTTTTGAATAAAGAGCTGATAAGGCAATATTTTGAAGAAAAACGAGGCGCGCCCTCACTAAGCATCACTAAACTAAAATAAACATAAACAAAATTTCCTAACTTTGCTGATGAAGTGAAGACTTAGTTTACAACCTAATATTTTTCACTTAGAGTACTTATAGTGGATTCAAAGAACATAAACTTAGAGACTACCATTACAGGATCTCACGTGCGCTAACACCACAAAATATTCATTCTACGGAGGGGCGGATCCTGGAAAAGAAGACAACGACCAAAATCCGAACTATTTAGAAGCAAGATCTTCGTGAGTAAGAAGATTTATTAAAAAGGATTGCAGTTTTTCAAAAATCTTGAAGTAAAACCACAATAGGCTCCTGACCGGTGAAACCTGCTAACCGGTGCCTTGCTGGCTTTAGATATCGACAGGACTTATCAATAAACGATAAACAGTATAATAACTTTCACGCTAACCTTAAAGATAATTATCCTTTTTACACTTTCGCGACACTGTCAATCTTTGCATGACAAATCTTTAGAAATCCTTTGGCCAATTAATAAGAGATCTGAAAATTTGTCTTGAACTGAGGTTTTGAACTTCATAATTAATGACAAAAATACTTAAAACTCTGGCTCAATGCCGAGCCACGATCGTTTTTGCCCGACAGTCAATTTGAGGCTTTTTACCTCACCTTTTTACAATTTTTAGAACTTGGGAACATCATATACACAGTTCGGCGGCCACACTTACAACTGGTGATCGCTGTAGTTTTTGTTTAGAGTTTGAAACACGGAATATTGGTGAGTTTCTCTTACTATCTTACTACTTACTACTTACTAAAAAAGAAGTTTCTTAGTAAGAAGTAGTAAGTTTTTAACAAGATTCAATTCTTTGCAAGTTTGAGTGTTGGCTGAATGAATTTTGAACCAATCAATTGTTAAATATTTGTTTTGAGAAGCTTCTAGCAAACATTTTTTATTTCTTAGTTCAAATGGTGGGCACACGCTATTCTCAGCAGACGCCTCATTGGTATCCCCTGGATTTTCGATTGGCCGGAGCGACAAGCTCTAGCCAAACGTCAACAATGGCAGCGGGCCGAAGTACGCACTTGTACATGGGTAGATAGGGAAGATTTAAACGGATTTTGTGAAAATTGCAGGAACCAGTTACTTTAATCGTGATTTGGTACACGGTCACCGGGGGAAATCTCACAACATATATGAGAAGAAGCGGCGCCAACGATGACGACCCTTGCAATGGAATCGATGTTACGGTGCCTGACATGTGAGCTTTAAAAATTCAATGTTAAACAAAAGACAAAAGTAAGTTTTTTACTTCCCTTTTTGACATTTATAAAATGTTTTTAGTTGGCAGTTTTAGTAGTTTTTTAGTAGTTTTTTTAGCTGACATTTATAAAAAGTTTTTACGTTAATCTTTTAAAAGCAAAAGACATAACGGATCTAAAAATTAAGTTAAAATTAAATTAAAAAACATTTCAAGCTTTCAAAATCACTATAACACTAATAGGAGGCAGTGAATAATTCTCAAGTTACGGCGCTTCAAGGTCGACGTAAAATTTGAGAGGTCACATTATTTTGTTTAGTACTGTAGGTTGTCCACGTCTGACGATTGTAAATTCTAGCTTTCGAATCTTTTGAAACCTGAAAAAAAATGAAAATCGAAATATCTAAAAAATTATTGTATGGAAAAAATAGGCCTATCAGTTAGTAAAGCCTGTCTTTCGATTGCGAATGACATTATGCTCAAAAGAAATCTAAAAAGACCTTTGTGACTTTGAGTTCAAAACTCAATAGGGCTTTGTAGGTGAATAGGACGTTTTTGTCACCATAAAAATCACAAAACTAGAACCAGATAAACTTTGTGAAATTTAGTCACACAAACGGCGATCAATATCGAACATATCAACAGACTTTTGGTTGCATGCTGGTGGGCAGTAAAAAACGCTTTTTAATGTTTTTTTTTAGTTGGACTGGGTTCCAGACGATCCGTCTAATGAAAGAGCTGGTTACCTTGTAAAGGTCTACAACGATGGTCTTCAGACTATTCAAAAAGAACCACGAAATACGACCGAAGTTATGTTTCCGATCACAAACACCATTGAAATGTGCCGAACAAAAACAAGTGCAACAAGTACAACAGACACAAGAACAGGTAGAACAGGCCATATTTTTGTCTTGCTATTATTTCTATTCTTTGTAGTAAGTTTCTTAGGTCAGTGTAAGCTTGAAAAACAAAAAGCTAGAAAACAAACATGAAAAATATTTTGAATTGGTCTTTTCATAGTCTTGCAATAGTCTTTTTATAAAAAAAATACTGATACTTTACTGTTTACAAGCATGGTTTCTGTAAAATTTTGTTTCCAAATCACCAAACCGAAATGCTTTTGATGATAGATTGCACAGTTTTTGTTTCTCTTAAGCCTAAGGACAACTTACAAGGGAAAATCTAGAAAATAAGGTGAGAAATTTAGAGGAATTTTTGGGAAAAATACAAGTCGACTACGCTGATTTCGAATCGCTAATTAATTTTTGCCTATGATCATTCTGAAGCGAGTTATAAGCATTTGAAAAAATGGGGTCTATTCTACAGACGGGTAGAAAGCAATAGGCAATTGAGTAGGCACATTGCACAGTTTTCTTAAGCTTAAGGACAACTTAGTGAGTGTTCTAAACAAATCACCAAAAAACCGAAAGTGTAATAACTAAGTACCAAAGCACTTTTTGCGTTATGAGTTTAGATTCAACAACACTCGAGCCCACAACTACACAAGAATCAGGTCTACATTTTTGAAAGTCATGATAATAATGTTTTGACTTTTAAAAAAATCGAAAAAACGGTTTTTATTTCTAGTTAGTGTCAGAGCGCCTGTTCTAGATTCAACTTATCCACTTAAATCCTCGAATCTTTCTCACACTCAACTTCTCTGGATTCTGATCGGAAGTGGCTTTTTGGCTTTGCTTGCATTATTACTTCTTTGGTCAGCAGTCAGCTGCTTCATCGGATTTAGAAGAGGGTTGGTTGTTAGAGAAAATGACCGAATTCAACCGTATAAGTAGAACTTTTAATTTAGCATCTTTGCTTATGTGGCCGTTTCCTGGTCAAATATGTCAACAATGGAAAAAATTCGAGGAACACTAAACAAAGTGCGAAAATCCCTTTTCTAGTCATTTAAAACAAATTTAGAAACGTAAACAAACGGCAGAACCTGTAAAAAATGCTGACAGCATTGTGAGTTCTATTTTTTTCTATTAATGTTTACTTCAATAAAGTTATTTTCAGTCAACCGGACCGATACCGACAATTGTTATCACAGATGGATCGGAAAGCAAGGAAGTTCCAGAAGACAGGTAAATTTTTGTTAAATTTTGTGTCTCAAAACTTCGTTTTAAACCAAACTAGAAAGGTTTTGTTTGACCTGAAGACTTTTTCGAATTTGACAATGCTCCAGAAAAAGGTTTTGCTAAAAAAACGCTGGCATGGGTCATGAAACAGATTTTTGAGATGTTTTTCTAATGTTTTGTCGGCTTATTTACTTTTCAGCCAATCGTTAGCCAGCCTGGAATATATTTCTGAAAAGATCAAACGTCAACTGCGATGGGCAGAAGGCGTTCGAAGAGGCGAAATTTGAGTCAAAGGCTGGAAACGAAATCATTTTAACTTTGATTTGTTTGTATAAATCGTAAAGCTTGCAGGAGACCAATTGTAATGACAAAATAATTTCTGCCATTTAGTCGAGAACTTTAATAGCATTTTGGAAACCAGAAGCCAAAGAATGAACCAATTACTTTTTGTTATTTAAAATAGAAAGTTTTCTTTCAAATCACAGATGAAAGTCCGTAGTCACCTATAAAATTTTGTTTTTCCAAAAGCAAAATCATTCAGAAAAACCTAAATTTACATGTAGACTGCTCCAGATAAGCATAAACGCATCCATAACTTTTGCGATAATCAAGTTTTTAAAAAATGATGTTAATTGCAAAATATTGCATATCTAAATACTAAAACGTGTACTACCATCAACTCTGCATAGGAAATAAGAAAAGAGAAAAGCTTCAATTTTTTTCCAAAAATCACTTTGGTCAATCCACAATTCTGTGGATTGGCCAAAGTGATTTATAAATAGCTTTATTAAAAACAAAAAATTGGAAAAACAAGAACAAAGCACCTCAATAATCGATAGCTACCCCAACACGACGAATTCTAGATTGGCATTTGCACAGGGCACGAAGGGCAAAAGATTGGTCCAAAGTTATCTTCAGCGACGAGATGAAATGGAATCTTGATGGACCGGACGGTTACACTCATTATTGGCGAGATTTAAGGAAAGATCCAATCTTTTTTGGTGAAAGAAATTTCGGAGGAAGAAAATGCCATGTGCTGGGCAGCTTTGATTGGTTGGTCGATTTGCGATCTTTCTCCAATCGAATGAAAAGCCAAGACTATGTCGACGTTTTGAATACAAGTTTACTTTCACTTATGGAACGAAACCCTCAAACGGTCTACCAATTTCAACAGGACAATGCGCTCATTCATTCCAGCAACTTTACAAAACAATGGATGGCACCGAATGGCGTCAATCTGATGGAATGGCCAAGCCTCACCCAAGCTTAACCTTATGGAGAATTTGTGGAATGTCTTGGTACCAAAGTTTACAAAAATCGTCGGCAATTTGCTTCTGTTGGTGAATTGAAGGCCGTGGTTTGAGTTGCCTGGAATTCTCTTGATCCAGCTGTCATTCAGAAGTTGGTCTCTAGCATGCCAATAAGTATATTTCCAGTCATCAACCGGTCAGGAAAAGTAATCAATTATTAATTATTTTATATGCTAGTTGTTGTTTTTTGTTAATTTTTTGTTTAATTTCAAGTTTTTTTTCAATCTTTGACCTTGATGGCTCGACTGGGGATCTGTTGTTTTGTCAGTAAATTTCTGTTTTAGACGATGATATATATACTGTGATACGATCATTTACCTATCTTTTTGAGTTTCAAAATTGTTGCGTCGGCAATCAAGAACAAATCATCGGTTTTTTATACATTGTTTGACATGCAAAATCATAAAAAGAACAGAACTTCAGAAGAAAAAGTTTCAGAAAAATCTCCAGAACCTTACAAAATTGTTTGACAACATCTTTCAGCATCTTTTTCAAGGCAAACTTTTTGCTATATACAAAAATGAAATCACAGCTGCAATCACAAAATGAATACAACGATGTGGCTTTTCTTAGTTTCCCAAGGCACAATACAAGAAGAGAGCCGTGTCAAAGTGTTCTTCGGCGGTCATTCGTGCGATCTCTTTCCACTTCTCCCAAGCGGTCGCATCAACCAAACGGGGCATCGATTTCACCTCTTCTTTCAGAATTTCCTCAGCTTTTAGATCCGTTCCATTGTTAGGGCTAAAATGTGAAAGGTTGTGGAGAATTTCAGTCGGTGACAGTCCCCCCAATGCACCAGATATGGTTATAGCCACATCATCTAGCAGACATTTCAGGGCCAAGTTCCTTGATAAAATCTTGTGTGAGTTTCCGAACATGTGTTCCCAACTATTTTTTGACTTTTACGTGCATTCATAAACTTTCTGAAAGCAAATTTTAGTTGCCCCTTTAACTCGAGAGATCAAACTATGCATTACATGATTGAGGAGTGTGCCCTTCACGAAATAGTGTAACATTATTCATTTAAGCTTTGGGTGGGGTCGATTTAAGCTATGTTTCCCTAATCTTTTAACAACTCTATACCCACCGTGTGGCCCCAAAATGGTACTGGAGATAGTATCCCCTTTGTTTCGGATCCTGTTTATAGACGTCCATGTTGCTCCCATAGACGAGTTGGGACTCACGGATGGCCAAAGCGGTAAACCGAAGCATTTTGAGGACCTCATTGTTCTCGATGTCCATCACACACTTGCACACTTCTTGACGATTTGATGGGGGATTCGATTTGATCTGTCGTCAAGACTTCAAGCTTCAGCTCACCTCGGACACCATTAATCGACTTTCCATGATTCTTTCAAATCGGCCAGGCTTCTCAAAACATGCGAAGCCTTGTCACCAAGACTTATCGCCAGTTTTTGACGATTTGTCAGCAAAATAACAAAGAAGAAAACTTCGCGAATCACTTTCGAAGAGTTTTTTTCTGGGTTTTTAGCGAATCAAGAAGTTCCTCGAGGTGTCTAAAATTTTGACAGTAAACATTAAGGAATGTGGAGGGCCATATGAATTCTGCCTTTTTCCTCTTTCTCTTTTCCGCGTTTTCTTACTTCACCCCACCGGTATTCTTCACCAAATTTTGCAAACATTGATTGTTTGGTTTCTCTTTATATGGGAAATTCACCTCGGAATTAAAATCGCTTTTAAAATAGATGTTTGGAAATCGCTATGGGTCAATAAAACTTATGTGATTATCGATTCTGTCTATTTGTGGACTGGATTTCCGAGATTTTTTGAAACTCTCCAGAAAAAAAAGAGAAACGTTTTCCTTTCATTTCCCCTTGAAATGAAGGGAAAACCCTGTTTCGACTAATTTTCATTCTATGACGTGATACAAAAGAAGTGAAAACAAGTAGAAGAACACTCGTTGGAGATCGTGAAAACAAGGGAATAAGCTAAAGCAAAAAGCAAAAGTCGGCGCCGAGCAAAACAGACTCTGTTTGTCAAAATATCTCTTTTCTTTTCGTGGGATGAAAAGATAAGACAAAGTTTGCGATTCGAATGATCGACACCCGTCGATTATGGCATTGAATGGAGTACTGTAACTTACAAGAAAAAGGCAACAGTAAGATGTGGTCAAATGACATGGGCCATGACAAAGAAAAATTTTCTTTATTCTATTTAAATTCTTTATTCTTTATTCTATTTCTTTATTCTATTTTCAAAAATTTCTCTCTGCAAAGTTCAAGGTTCAAGTCAACTTTCGCAAAAATCTTTGGCGACTAGACTATCAGGTTGGCAACTAAATAATGGGCCTTTTCAGTAAAAACAAAAAATTTATTAACAAGATGAATAAATATCAACATCAATCCAAAAGGTGTTCTCCGTCATTCTTTATTACTTCTTTCCACTTTTGACGGAGCAACTGGATTTCTCTCTTGAAAAATTCTTCTGGTTGATCTTCAAAGAACTTCTCCACTGAAATTCGGACTTCGTCAAGGTCATTGAACTTTTTCTCGGCTAGAAAGTGTTGCATCGATCGAAAAAGATGGTAATCACTAGGCCCCATATCCGGGCTGTATGGCGCATGAGGAAGAACATTCCAGCCCAACTCCTCGATTTTCTCCATTGTAAGTTTTGCAGTGTGTGGTTTTGCGTTATCATGGAGAAAATGAATTGAAGAGGGTTCGAGTCCTTGAGAGGCTTGTTGGTGGTGCTAAGTTATAAGCGAGTTATAAGCGCTTAAAGTTTTGTTTGTTTTTGTTTTGAAAATGTGGCCATTTGGCCTCCTTGGACAAAACATCATGAACGAGTTGCAGAGTAAAATCGGCAAAGGTTTGAAAGAAGCCTTCATGGTTGAGCTTTAGAAATTAGTGTTCAGGAAATGAGCAAATTCGACTCCGGCCACCACAATCAACCTCTGCTGAAACGCCCGTTTATGTACACAGTCAAATGAACACAATAAGAGCCCCGTCTTCTTTTTCAAGTATCTCCCCAAATGCACATGATCCGTTTGAGGTTAGTGACTGTTTTGATAAAAAAACTACAGAGCGCCTCAAAAGTTCTGACACTTTTTCTGTAAACAGTAAATTCTTCACTTGAAAAACTAACTCTGGATTCTATTAGGTTGGCAACTAAATAATGGTCCTCGCCCTTTTTTGATAAAATCTTTTAATCTTTGCGTTTAATCTACCCTCGCTTGTTGTTAATTGAATATTACTGAATTTCTGGTGCATTATTATACGTTTTTTACTTTCCTTGATTTGATACTTTTCAAATAATTTTGTTCAGAAATGGAAGATCTCAAATATCGAATGCGTATCTGTCTCTGGTACGACTACAAACAAGACAAAACAGCTGCCGAATCCCACAGAGATTTATTGCGAGTTTTTGGTGATGAAGCTCTTTCCGAAACACAATGTAAGAGATGGTATCGACGGTTCAAGGAAGGGGATGAAAGTCTTGAAGATGAGCCTCGCCAAGGACGACCCGAACTTCTGCAGAACGATATTTTGGAAGCAGCTTTAAAGGAGGATCCAAGTCAAACATCACGCGAGCTAGGGGATCGATTGGGCTTTTCGCATACTGCAATCGAAAAGCGACTTCATGCATTGGGGAAAAGTAACCGCAGTGGAAAGTGGATTCCGCATGAATTGAGCGAAGAAAATAAGGCTACTCGTGTTATCACAGCTGGAATACTACTAAAACTTGCGAAAAAGGAAAGCTTCTTGGATTCCATTGTCACTTCTGATGAAAAATGGATCTTTTATGATAATCGAACGCGAAAACGACAGTGGCTTAGCACAAACGAAGACCCAAAACCAACTCCGAAGCCGGATATTCACTCAAAGAAAACTCTCCTCTGTGTGTGGTGGAGTTCTCGTGGGTTGGTGCATTTCGAGGTTCTCAAAAGCCGGCAAACGGTTAATTCAGAACTCTATTCGTCTCAACTATAAACACTATATTTGTCGTTAGCCACCTCAATTAAGCGCGTGCGTGCTGGTTGCCATAATTCCGCTCCACCCTGTATATGAGATCAAGATTATCATGAATCAAGAGTCAAGAATATCAAGAATCAGAAAAGAAGCAAAATGTTGAAAATCAAGAAAAGATAGAAGTTGGGAAGCCATTTGTAAGGCAGGTTTTGACTTAAAAGCATTAATTCAAATTTCAATTTTATAAAATCAAAACAACTACACTTTTTATTGATGAAAACTAAATCATACGTTAGAACTTTATTTTACAATTCAATCTTTAAAAAAACAATAAAAAATTCAATTATTGAAAATCCTTATTGCACTCAGAAATGGCATTCGATGATCTGGCTGATGGCTTGTCTAAAATGTTTTTAACTTAAATTACAAAAATAATATTATTCTAATCTTATCTTGTTTTTTTCAAGTATCATAGCTACTTCAAAAACTTTCAATCAATGAACTCACTCGGCAATTTTGGTTTTGCTTGGTGCGGTGATGAGAGGATTGAGTCGATAATTTGCGGAGCCGATCTGAAAAGTTTAACCTCATCGAACATTGGCGAAAGGGGAATGCCATCAGAAAGGGCGTTCGATGAGCTGGCTGGGGGTTTGTCTAGGAAATGATATTTATATCTACATCTTGCTTTACATCTTGCTAGCTAACTCAAAAACTTTCAATGAACTCACTTGGCAAGTTTGGTTTCGCTTTGTGCGGCGGTGGGAGGATTGAGTCGATAATTTGTGGGGCCGATCTGAAAATTGATTAGCTACTTAAATTTTGGACAATATTCAAAGAAAATGAACAAACTTTATGCAAACTTGATTTGCAAAATGCAAATTTAAGCTAAACAATGCATCAAAGCTGACCTTGTTTCTCAGGAAAGGAAGAAACGCACGATTTTTGGCACATTCATTTTGATTTCTTTTTCATTTTCCAGTTCTTCATAAAATTTCAGGACTTAAAATGCCAGAGAAGAGTGCGTTTCCACTATACAGCAAATATACCAAAATTTGCCTACAGTTTACTTGCTTTTGATATTATCGATACAAACGGCATACCCATGTTTGACCGTTCAGATCTCCGTTTCTAGAGCAGCTATCAATCTGCAAACTGTTTTCTTGGAAAGCCAAGAGTGTCAGCTTTTGATTGCTATTTTATACATAGCGACTTTTAATAAGTAAGTATTTCATAAACTTTATTGATAAGCTCATCGATAAGTGTTGATAGGCGTTTTAAGGCCCTCACTTATGAGAATTTTCTATGTGTGAGATAGCAATCAAAAGCTGAAATTCTTGGCTTTCGAATGAAACAATGTTCAGTTTGATAGCTGTTCTAGAAACCTAAGCGGTTAAACATGAGCTTGCCGTTTGTATCGATAAGCCAGTCTAAGTTTACAGTATGCTTACGATATGCAAAGAAAACTTGTCCAGTAATTGAAGTACCAGTTTTGTCTAAAACTTACGATGAATTTGGCTGCCCAAGCACGGGATTTGTCAAATAGATCCTGTCAATAGACTCGGGATTTCCCCAACTTTTGCCATCTCGAATATCGCCGTGACCCGTGTGGATGAACGAACCTATAGAAATTAAAAAAACTATAATCTGGATATTTACCCGCAATCGGTCTGGATATTTTCTGATTTCCATCTCTTCCCGTTTCGTTGGCCGACTTGACGAAGACGACGGATCGCATAAAATTGCCAAAGCATCTCGTGCGCTCGCTTTGCCCAAACCACGTGACACCGCTGAGTTTTCTGTTAGAATTTTAAATATAAAACTTTTAGAATAATGGTAACCTTCAATTTTTGATATCTAGCTTCTCAAACTCACGTATTTTCTATAATCTGCACCCGATCACCGATTCGGAGCTCAAGTTGTTGATCGTTTGCCGCAGGATGGGCCTCTCGTACTTCAGCGACGGAGAAACTTGCCTAAAAATGGTGCTAATAGCTAAAAATGGTGCTAAATTCTTTTGAAAGTTACTAAAGCTGTAACATCATTGCTATTTACCTGCTTCAACAGCCCCCACAACATTTTGAACTTCGGTCGCGCATCGGGATTCGCTTTCCAGCAGAGATCCATCAGATCGTAGACTTGTTGAGAGCAGAATTTCGGTTTTGGCAATCGCTCACCGGCATCCGTTCTTTCCAGAACCTGAACTGATTAGAAGTTTTGATAGTTAGCTTTCAAAACTCACATCTCTTCCCCTCAATCCAGCCCATGGATCCTCACCAAACGAGTAGATTTCCCACATCAGCACGCCCATCGCCC